CTTGGATGTTCTGGGTGATCACCTCATTTAGGGATATAGCAAAAACTATATTTAGACTAAATACAACATTTAGTGTAATACAAACATGTAAAAGTTCATTACCATTACCATTCTAGAGGGTTCCTGGTGGTTGTCAGGGACTTGTGGATGCTAAGGTATTCTTGTTATTCTCTTAGTCTCTTTTTTTTATAGTGTAGCGATGTCTGAAGCACAGCTCACACAGAAGTCATTTTCAAATCAAGCAGCTTTCTGTTGGTCAGCTTGGCAAATTCGAGTGATCAGCTTGCAAAATCTGCGCGGGGAAATCTTTCGCCATCACACAGAATTCCTGATCTTATGGATTCCAATTAAAATGACTGGATTTCACAAGGCTTTGAAAATTAATGCGCTAACTAGTGTCTGTTATTTTAAAAAGTTGTAAAAAATTTAAACCAAAAAAAATGTAGGCCTAAACAAAATTTTTGGCCATTTTCATTTTCTTTTAATTTGCTTTGGAGCGATGAAAATTTATTTTAGTTGAGTTTCTGTTTTTCACAGTTATGTTGCAAGATATAATTGCGAGATAAGTTGCTTGCAAGTTTAAAACTTAGGGTTACAAGTTTTAAAACACTAAATATGTCGAGAAAGCTTTTTAAAAAACCTACCTAAGAGACACAAAAAGCAGGAGAGAGATGCTTCCAAGGCTGCGAAGAGAAGCCGTGTCAATTTGCAGTGACACTGTGAAAGATGCCATGAAAATACTTGTGACACTCTTGTAGCTGAGAAACTTGAGGGAAAACCGAGGGGTGGGTAGAGGATGAGCTTGTCCCAGCAGACAGTCAATCAAGCAGTCCTGCATGCTCAGCTGTAGTTATCACACACACACATACGAGAGTGTTGCCTCTGCTGACTCGGCCGCAGTGTCGATGACTGGATGAGCTTTTTTTGAACCACAGATCTGCATCTGTCAAACCTTGTGTAGCTTTGTGTGCGTGACTCCCTGCCAGCGAGTGCGAATCCTCGACTGGACCGAGTGGCAGAGAGCGGCTCATCTTTGTGTTTATAAAAGGAAGATCACAGGCGGTTTGTCTTTGCCAGGAAGTCCTCCTACACTTTCTCCATCGCTTGTATTTACTGACAGGCGACGTGTTGAGTCGGCGCTCATATGTGTTGATTGCTGAAGTTGGTGTTTGTTTTGAGAGACTAGTAGCACTGAAGCAGATAATTGCTCCTTGTTTGTTCTTTAGCACATGAATGAGTCATAATGGATGTCTCCAGGTGAAGATTATTCAACATCATAATCTTCTCAACATAAAGGTCAGACCTAGATACTCAGAAGTGACAGCTCTCTGGTTTGTGTTTATTAGCTGGACTGTACGGCAAAGAGCAGCTCATCGGTTTGTTTTATATTCTGGGAATTGTAGTAGAGGGCAAATATGTGCTTTTATGCCCTTACACTTGAAAACGGAGCCTTTCATTGAGCCCTGAAGGTCACAATGTAATGAAGGGAATTCTAGTAGTAGTAGTTGTTCTGATTGGATTACGTTCCCTTTTGGATTTAGCTCACTCAGTGGCTGTTGTAAAATTTTCTATATGCATTTTCAACATCTTCGTTCATCACCGTGTAATGGCCACATCATCACACTCTGATATTTCTTGTGAAACCTCCCAAACCTGCTCTGCCAGGGCTGTCCATCGAAAGCAGAATGTAATGCCACTTTCTTTTCTTTGCAGCTGTGCAATAACAGTATCATTACTGTGTTAAAATATACAACAAACAATGCTTTTGCTGCTATTATTTAAGTAACTAAAACTGATTTAGAGATTTTGTTTTCAAGGACAACTATATTCTTTCATTTTATTTTTTCTTTTCAGATATATATTTATGAATTAGTCATATTGTGTGTAATGAAAACTATTCTTCACAGATGATTATGGAATATAAAGATATGTTTATATTAGTTTGTTAGTAAATAATAAATGATATTGTTACATTATGCTGCCAAAAGCATAATTTGTTGTCAATATGAAGTATCTAAGCATTCACTTCTTTACCTTTTTAAAATGATTATAAAACAATAATAAAAAAGATTATTCTTGACATATATGAAGATAAAATATTTTAAGAAATTAAAATAAATATAATTTTAAAAGCTTATTGACTTGTTCAAATAAAGTAATATGTAGTTTTATTTAATCAAATACTTATTTAAAGGTGCCGTTGGAGATCTTGGAAAATGCTAACTTTAGCCTGATAGCGAACGTCCCACCCTCCCTGCAATCGCCGTCCAAAGCCACGCCCCCTGAACGCATATATACGCTCACAGACCAGAATACCAGAGACAACATAATATAATTTTAAAAGCTTATTGACTTGTTCAAATAAAGTAATATGTAGTTTTATTTAATCAAATACTTATTTAAAGGTGCCGTAGGAGATCTTGGAAAATGCTAACTTTAGCCTGATAGCGAACGTCCCACCCTCCCTGCAATCGCCGTCCAAAGCCACGCCCCCTGAACGCATATATACGCTCACAGACCAGAATACCAGAGACAACATTACTACAATAGGCTACATCAGCGGTTCCCAATTCCAGTCCTCGCACCCCACCCCTACACCCCACACATTTCATATGTATCTCTTATCACGTGCGATGTTTGTTCTATTCGACCGTAAGTGCCCTGTGAAGTGGACATCACCGGATATTCCGCCAAGATTCTAGTTCGATGCGAGCGTATAAGTTCCATACAAAGGGCATTAAAGTGTGCGAGACGTAAATTTAAATAACGTTAGTATTTACAGAGGTATATTATGTCACACTTCACACTTCTCTAGTAAGTTTCGTCTGTGTGTGCACAGTGCAAATCCGTGAATGAATGTTCCGAAGTGAAGTAAACTTCAATGGATTTCCCCTGCTCAGGGAGTAGGGAGTAATGAACACTGTGTAGAGAGCATGTCAAACGGAACACAATTCATGCACGTAGCTCTCTTCTAATGAGCTGGTTATCTGAATCAGGTGTGTTAAACAGGTCATATGATGTTTCTAAAAAGAACATTATTTGGTGTATTTAATGTAATGAAATGTGTTTATGCGGTTTAAAGTTAAAAAAACACATTATTTTCCACATACTGTACATTATTGTTTCACCTCTATGCCCCGCCTTTCTGAAACAAGTAGATTTTTCCAAAGCTCATCGGTCTGAAAAGCGAGGTGTGCTCTGATTGGCCAGCTATCCAGTGCATTGTGATTGGCCGAATACCTCAAGCGTGTGACGGAACTGTTACGTTGTATTCTACTCTTCCAGGATCCATAAAATGTGCTGCACACAAATGAATATTTGGGTTGAACTGTTTTGGAACATTGTTGTAAATACAACTTAACCACTGATTTCTAGTCGTGTCCTCTTTTGGAAGACCAAACAAAGTAGTTTCGCTTTCACAACGAAACACACGGCGGACTAGAGTAAGGAACGGCCGGCAGATTCGACGAAGGAGCGGCCGGTGGGCTTGCGGCAACCACATGTGATGACCCCGGGCTGGACTCCACTTCGTCCACAGCGCGAAGTTGATGTATTCCCTCAACGACCAGCAGGGATCAGCTCTAGACATGACGAAGCGGATATCGTCCTCTTTTGGAAGGCCAAACAAAGTAGTTTCGCTTTCACAATGAAACACACAGCGCCTTCAGGACATGGCGGCAGCAACAATACTACAGCGAGAATAAAAGTTACGCCTTCTTTCTTTGCGTGAACATTTGTGCGGCGTTATGCAAATCTTCCCACATCGTGACGTAGACATGTGGGGGCGTGTTAGAACGAGCCATTTTAGGTAGGCGTGGTTGACTCTTAACTTTTATAAAGAATATCTCTTTGGATTTGAGACTTTAGTCTTTGTAATGTTTCAGATCTTTTTATGCACCAAGAGCTTGTAACACTTCAAAGAGAAAGGAAAAATTTTAATCGCATCATATGACCCCTTTAACTAAGCGAGACATGGGGCACGAGGACTGGAATTGGGAACCACTGGGCTACATCATGTGTCATTCTTTATAGTACAGTTAGTAAAAGTACTACAATACCAGGAAGGAAGATGAGGTTGTTGATGTTTGTCTGCCATTCTCCTCTGTCTGCACAGCGTACCTGAACGCGCTGATGACGTATCCTGTCTGCGCGAAGCGGGTGCGCAGAGGTATGCTAATACATACGTTTACATGCAGGTAGGAAAGTCAATTAAAAAGCTTGGATCGAGGGTTTTGATTGGATGAACATTTCTTGGTCCTACGCCTTCCACAGAATATATAAATACAGATATATACATTTATACCACTTAACTTAATGATTGCTATCGGGATGTGAAGAGACTTTAAACCAGCATAAAAACAATTTTTCTGAAGACAATCACCTATTGCACCTTTAATTTAAAATAAATAAATACGTATTGCCTAAAGAACATTAAAAGATGACTCAAATGAATCACAAACCATCCAGAAAAAGAAACAGTTCACTAAAATGAATCCTTAGTGCAGTTATTCAATCTTCTCAGTGCAATTTGAGACAGAAAATGGCACTATACAACAGGTTTCATGCTAAACTGAAAACTAACAACAAGTTTAACAATGAAAGCAGTACCTTGTTATTGTTTTGAAAAGTGCTGTTTTTCATTTCTGGTCCCGCCACAAACCTGTAACTAAAGTCTACTAAACAACTTTACTCAAGACAAAAATTGGGGTAGGAGTAAAATGTACAGTCCATCATCACATTTTAAAATCTGTGATTTAAAAAAAATGTAATAATGTGCGACTAATACTGTTGACTTTGTGCTCCAGTTTAGGAGTGGCGCTTTAGACAAATACTAGTCCTCTTCACATTCACCCTCTCCACTTCCCTGTGACCTCCCTCTCCACTGGCTCTGTTTTAGATGAGTGCTAATACTGGCCATCATTTGGAGCACTGCTGTATGTGTGAACTTCCTGCTGTTATTTTTGGCGTGCTTGTTTCCCTTGACATAACACTTACCGCAGTTATGTGGTGACGGAGTTGATGCAGAGTGACCTCCATAAGATCATCGTCTCTCCACAGCCCCTGAGCTCTGACCACGTCAAAGTCTTTCTCTACCAGATCCTCCGAGGTGAGATACACACACACTAAGCCCTTTATTTCAACATTTTATTTCAAAAGTTTCACCCTCAGAGTTCAGACACACACATTCTCTACGCTGAGTCTTTCTTCACCAAATCCCATGGGTACAGAACTACACAGACATTCACACACACCTCTCTACTTCATGTTCCTTACTATCATTTTCACACCAGAGAAAGTGAGGAGGAAGAGATGGACCACTCATAGTGTAAGAATACGAATGGGAGAAACAAGAAGCAGTCGCCTCTTTGATATTTTGTTTACTGTAGGACAGCTGACATGTTTCATCTGATTCATTAGGAATAAGGTTAACTGGTCCCTATAAGACATATAACTTCAGTGTTTTGAAGTGACACAAAGCTTTATTACATCTTAGAGGAAAAATGGTTTAGAAATAAAACGTCTGTTTATATGTCAACTAGATTACATTTCAAACCAAGAGACCTGTACAGCATAACAGCGCAGTCTGCTTCATATCAATACAGTTTGTGTCCACAAAATGTCTTTAATGACTGATGTATATGTTGTGTCCGCAGGACTGAAGTATCTACACTCAGCTGGCATTTTGCACAGAGACATTAAACCTGGTAACCTGTTGGTCAACAGCAACTGTGTGCTTAAGGTTAGTGAAATACTAGTCAAATTTTTGATGCGTTGACGATTCTTCCTATTCTCGATTTTGCTTCAGTGGTTATTTTTAGAAATTGACCCTGTAGTTGGACTCTTAAGACAGTTGTTTATATCAATTATTTTATTTAAAATCTAGCAAACTTCTCATATATATATATATATATATATATATATATGTTTATATAAGGTTTCCATAAAATTTCAAAAAAATTCAGAAATTATATTTTAAATCGAGTTTAAAATTTAAAATCGAATTTGCTGAACAAGTTTTCAGCATTAATGTTTTACTGTATTTTTTATCAAATGAATGTAGTCTTTGCAAGTATAAGATTTTTTTAAACAATTACAATTTTAAATGTAATTTTAGTACTTCAACTTTTACTTTGTTAGTTGCATTTCAGTTTTTAAGTTTTAGTTTTTCATTAATATTGATATTTTATTTTAAATCTACAATATATATATTTTTATTTCAATTAATGGAAATAACAGTATGATACTAAACAGTCAGGTGACTGAATAATTGGCTCAAAGTGACAATTTTGGTCTCAAACACACAGCTATTTTTTATTATATAATTGTAAAATGTGTAATTTGGATGTAAAAGCTAATGATAAGTCTAAGAAATGAAAAGAAATCTATCTATATATGCAGGTACTGTTTAAGTTTTATGGTACTGGTTTCTTTTGTCTCTGTGCTCTCCTGCTGTTTTAGCATTATGTACTGTAGCCCATGGGCCTTGAATTCTGTCTTTATAATTCCTTTTTTCCGAAAAGCAAGGACGCCTCATATCTGTCTGGCCAGGCCAGGTCTACAGCGCCAGCGTACACACACTAACACACAATCTCTGACTCCAGGGGGTCAGGGCCCCTTTGGGATTGATTCATCTGCTCGGTTCCTGACATAAATCTTCATTTTGGATCCCATAGAGAGAGCCCAGCTGCAAAAGTGAAAGCAAGGTTGATATGGGAGATACAGAAAGAGAGAGAGAGATAAAGAAAAAGAGAAATTCTCTGTGTTTGTGCGTGCTGACTTCACCCAGCAGCATGAGAAATGTGCTTGAGGGGAGAACTGGAATAGATTGTGCTATTGGACCACAGAGAGCGAATCATTTAGCATGCGCTGCTTCATTTAGCCACATTTCCGAAAAAGAAGAATGTTTCTCTCATGTAGCTATTATATGTGAGACCTTATCTTATGGCCATGTCCTGCAATCAAACACACTCAAGTCTGATTTAGGTTCAAATTTGATTTATTTTATATCCATAACATGTTTACTATTATTAGTGTGTGCTCTGAGACTCTTTAATATGCAGATAATTGAGCACACTCCTAACCATATGTATTACATTTCATTATGTACCATGAACAAATTTCACAGACTTATCTTTAGCTGTTCTTTCAGATTACACATTTTAAAATTATATAATATAGATGGATGGATGGATAGATAGATATAGTAACACCTTGGCAGCTTGTCACTCTTTCCTTAAATGGTGGTGTTTTACTTGAATGGCATGTAAGAAGACACAAGGAATTTTTCAATAAAGTGCATGTTTAAATGTTGCTTGCAGGATTTGAATTCATCTTGTGGGAATGCATAAAATTAGGCCTCTGGGAAAAACTGGGTGGAGCTACTTAGGTAAATTGTTAGTAATGCATGATAAGCCCTTTTGTGCCTTCTTTCTAAGAGTGGGTGGAGAGAAGAGGCCGAGATATTTTTCTCATTTATTTATTTCCCAGGAGCACTCAAGCAGCTCAAGATGATTGGAAATTGGGACTTGTGTTTATAGCGCTTTTATTGTTTATCTGTTTGATTAAAAGGTGAATGATCCTCTCCATGTAATTGTGGTTTTATTGCATAATTTATTGTAAAAAAAAATTCTTTTCCATGCTTGTCAATAAATGTACACCTCAGACTTTACTCATCAACCTATTAAGTGTGTAAATAATCCTAAATTCTGCACAGATTTGTGACTTTGGCCTGGCAAGAGTGGAGGAGCTGGACGAGTCGCGTCACATGACCCAGGAGGTGGTGACGCAGTACTACAGAGCGCCAGAGATCCTGATGGGGAGCAGGCACTATTCCAACGCCATCGACATCTGGTCTGTGGGCTGCATCTTTGCCGAGCTGCTTGGCCGACGAATCCTCTTCCAGGCTCAGAGTCCCATCCAACAGGTATTCACCTACGCTCGTGTTCAGCACTCGATCTGTAGACAGAAACCTGCCTTTTCACACATGTGAACATGTTCCTGTATCAACATTAGTTATTGTTCTTGGAACAACATTCTTATCAGAACCTTCTGATTTTTGGTGTAGGTGAAGGTGAACATCCAGGACATTATGTCTTTGATATTGATCTCTTTTCCTAAACTCACAGACTGATTTAAGGGAAACGTCTTAACTGCTCTCTTTGTGGTATTTGTGAATCATTGTAGATTTTGGATCATTTGGCCTCTCAGATGTGTTAAGTAGAACCTTCTTTATCAGGGTCCAGAATTAACACTCAGCAAGCGCCAAAAGAGTCAAAATTGGCTTTGGCGAGTAAACAAAAAGCTTTCTAACCAATTTGGCTTCTAACTTCCCTAGGAACTGCAGCATATTGCATGGATTAAATTGCAAGAACTGAAGCCTCGCCTTTTTTGTCTGACATAAATTATGTGACTCAAGCAAATGAATAAGCTGTTAAAGCTTTCTTTTCATAGAGATTCTCTTGTTTACATTCTGACAGCTTTTACCTACTTAAAATGTGCATTATAGCATTTTGTTTTTCTCCAGAAGTCTATGTGGTGAAATATTGCTCACATTAAGCCACTAAAAATATTGTGTATATGACAACTGGCGCTGTTCATCACAAATATACAGTAGTAAATATACTGTAAATATATTTTTAATTCAGAATACAGCTTTCATGACCAGTAAGAAGTATTTTCTGTACATTTATGGTGTTAATTATTTATATTTAATTCTCCATTCATTTGCCATTCATTTTGGAGCCATTACTCAATCTGGTATTGTTTGGATTCTTATTTTTTTTCCTTAAAACTAAAAAGAATTTAATAGAATGGTTTGATATTTAATAATTCAATAAAAGTTACATTAGTAGTGCTATTATAGATAAAAGGCTTTGTAACATTCTTAGTGAAAACAGAAAATCTTGGACACTGATGCTAAACATGTGACCTTAACATACAGTATTTTTGGCAAATGTTGTACAGCCATGCTAATGAGCGAGCGGGGGCTGCTCAAGGCTCTGTTGAACTGAAGCCCCAGTGTGGCCATGACCCAGAAGCCCTCTGTCCTCCATGGCTGTGTGTTTGCAGCTCAGACAGCATGTCTCTAGCTTTCACACATGCACAGAGGCCTCTACTATTATGTTGTTCAGAGTCTGTGTGATGCAAGTAAGAAATTATTTGAGAAGTACATTTACAGACACACTTTTTATTTTTATGTATTTCACACAGAAGAATATGAGCCATATGTTCTAATAATACTGGCCCTGCAGTGTGTCAGAGACTCTGGGACTGGCTGTTCCTCAGTGTGTGTGTGTGTGCGTGTGTGTCCACACAGCCCTGAATGTGCACCGACAGCACATCGACATCCCCTTTAAGGCTCATTAAATTCTCTCCAGTAAAGAATTTGATTTACTTGAACATGGTTCTGCTCCAGTTTGTTAATATACAGATCATGAACATTTATCTAGTTTCTTATTTTTCCCTTTGTCCTTCTCCGACTCTTTTATTATATTCAGTTATTTTGTGTTTTAAATCAGAACTTTCTATTTATGGTTATTTATTTACATTAGTTTATGTCACATCCTTCTGAGACCCAACTGTTTTATGATGCCATATGGTGTTTAGAACCAAAGTAAATTGCAAAAATAATTGTTATATTAAGTGTTATTTATTATTATTAAATTTATTGTTTAGCATATTTGTCACATCCCTAAACATGTGGTATTCCTGAAAAGCAAAAAAAAAAAAAAACATTTACTACAGTGGCTAAAAATTTAATTCCTGGATTTCAGGAGAATATATGCTCATAAAGTCTTGTTTTATACATCTTTTTTACAGCACTCATCTGCTCTTCCTTTTCTTGTTATATACTAGCTGGACTTGATCACAGATCTGCTGGGGACTCCGTCTCTGGAGGCCATGAGGACGGCGTGTGAGGGGGCCAGAGCTCACATCCTGAGAGGACCACATAAACAGGTGAGTCTGAAATCGAACAATGTCCCAAAAACTAGACACATGGTGTTTGGAGCAACATCAAGAAAGACAATGACTCAAACTTCACATGAAACACAAAAAAATGAATTATGAAACAAACAGAACAATGTAATTATGAAAATAATGAAATAATAATATGGAAAATAATAATACGGCTTGTCTGTGGTTTTTATGTGTAAAAATAATTTTTTTATCTCCAGTTTAAAATGCAGAGATACTAGGGCGGGGCTATCTGTTTGTCCAGCCAATGGCAGGTGGGGAGTGTGTTTGGGAAAAGGTTTTTTTTTTATCATTCTTTTTTCAGTTACTAGTGGCTCACAAGTCGCACACTTCAGATTTTATCTGCTGCTGTATTCCTTTAATGTGTCATTATGAATTTATGAAAGTCTAGAAATTGTTTTTCCATCTCCAAGTGCCTTTTGGTTCCTTTGCAGCTCATTTGATAAACTGAAAAGCTCATGGTTTTGAGTATATAGAAAGCTGTTCTCAGTGTGCAAGTGGGAATATGTGCATGTTTGTGAGTGTGTATGTGTGATTCGGTGCTGGGTGTTGGCTCTGTGGCTCTAGACAGCTACGCTGAGAAGGCGATACCCTGCAGTGAACAGGAACTGTAGCGCAAGGACTGTGGACCTTTGCTTCCTGCTCTGCATCGACCTGATGCCTGGTGACTCACCAAGAAGCCCGCCTCCTTTGCACACATGCATACAGACATGCACCTGCTAGGCTAGAGAAAGTCTTTACCATTTAGGCCTATATGTGAAGAGGCACTTGTTTCTCCAGTCAACATTCGCCAGCCTTAATCCCAGCCAACTACCCACACACACTCATACTGACATTTGGCTGACCTTGTCACTCGACGCTGCCTCCTGTGTGTGGTCGACCGGCCCTAGAGCAGGATGTTTAATCATGTAGATCAGCTGAGCTTCCCGTTACATGTAGCAGGTTTTGGAGACTGAAAGAACTGGGGTCTCTGTGGGGTATTGTGATGACACCATTCTTCAAGGGTCTGATCATGTGTCTGGGTCAGTGTTTTCTACTGCATTCTGTTTTTAGGTAATTGATGTATAACTTGTCTATTAATAATAATAATAATAATAATAATAATAATAGTTGATGTTGTTATTGTATAATGAGTATAAATATAATAAAATATTATTTATTATTATTATTATTATTATTTATCTGGTAATATTGACTATTATTTTGTTATAATAAATAACAATTATATAATAAATACAATAAAATATTATTTATCTGGTAACTTATTACCTATTTATCATCTATTATTTTATTTACTATACTATTATTATTATAAATTATTATATTTATGATGATATTATTATTATTAAGGTATAATGAGTAAACATATATAATAAAATATTATTATAATTTATTATTATTTGTGTGGTAACAATAATATTTACTATTATTTTGTATAATAAATACAAATATTATTTGTCTGATAACTTATTACCTATTTATCATCTATTATTTTATTTTGTATAATAAATACAAATATTATAATATCTAATTTATCTGATAACTTTTTATTAGCTATTTATCATCTGATGTTTTTATTTACTACTATTTTTATCATTATTATAAATTATTATATTTTATGATGATTATTAAGAATGATATTATAATACATTAAATAAATTAATTAATTTGCAAATGTTTGTCAAAATGATTTTTTTTTTACTATTTATACTATATGAATAACTTGGGCTATGTAACATACGTTTTTGTATTAAATGTTATTTCTTTTTTATTATTTAAATGTTCATATCTTAAAAATCTTTAGCAGTAGTTAAAAACTTGAACTACTTAATGCCATATAAACGTCTTGCCTGTAAGTGAGTCAAATGTTAACTACTATGACAGTTTTACTAAAAATAAATGTTGTTCGTTTTTGAGTAGAAAAACATGTTGTCTGTTCAGACGGCAAACTCTAAATAGAATTTCTTTTACCAAACTCTCTCAAAAGGCAGGTTTTAAGAGTCCTAAAAGACACTTTAGTTATAAACAGTATTTTCGTTTACTTAAATGTTATAACCAATCTGTGTGAACGCAACCGGAGCAGGATGTGTAATCAAGCTCTTATGGACCTGTTTTGTTCTCTTTATAGATAACTATGCTTTTAGTCACCGTTTGATGGGGGAAGGTTGGAGAAGTCAAGGCAATGAAAAGCTTTTAGATGGCTAAGGTGGCTTTACAATCAGACTCCACATTGCTGGAGTCTTAATGACTGGTGAATATGGCATACCAGACCTCCACCTCCACTTTTGTGAAGGTGAAGAGCTTATCAAGAAGGCTTTTGAGTGAAAAAGATGGCAGAGAGAGGAGCAGGTCTCCAGAGAGTCTGGCAGAGCGATTTCAAGAGGCATTTCAGCGTAGTTCTCAACAACAGTGGTGGGAGATGTGGTATGCTTTAATGCCAGTGCTCAAGATAGAGACAGTCGCTCAGGATTTGGCTGAGTGGATAGGCGGGAGGGAGAACGAGACCAGGTTTGTCCGATAGAGAGCAGGACTTGTGAGATCTATATAGAGGTCTGACTCTTAAGATCAACTTGGCTGCCTCCACAGGGGACCTCATTACTTCTATTAATTTTGCAAGGCTCTTACCATCACTAGAAAGAGAGGAAGCTTTTAGCCTCTGCTGGAGTGGGAGGATATAAAGAGACCCTACCTTAACTGTCATATAGACAGAGAGAAAGAAAGTGAGAGGTTGTGGTGTATCTGCTCTATTGCAAAGTTCAGCATAGGTTGTGTTTTGGATGCTAGTGTGTTTGTGTCCTTACCAGGCTTCTTAACTAGCTTAACCAGCAAGTGCGCATTTGTCAATCAGCTTTAACAGAAAGGCGACATTGGTTAATCAAGGACCTCTTCCTATAAGAAATACAAGCAATAAACAAGATCCCTTTAAAGGTGACATATCATGAAAATCTGACTTTTCCAGGTTTTAAGTGCTATAATCAGGTCCCCGGTGCATCTACCAACCAAGGAAACGTGAAAAAGATTAACCCAGTAACTTTGTTTTGGTAAGCCTTTTTCTGCAAGGGTCTGAGAAAACGAGCGTGTCTGATTTCGCTCCCTTGGTGACGTTGCAAAGGGATCTCATTATAATATTACCGCACCTTATTTTGTAAGTTTCCACCCACGGCGCCGTCATTGTGTTTTCGCAAGCGACAACGGTGTACCAGCTCTAATGCCATGGCGAAAATTTGAGCAAAACATACTTACTGTTCTGCCTTTGTCTGCACAGACCAGCACAGAACACTATTTAGATCTAAAATAAGCATGCGATTTATTTCCCAGCAGTTTACCTTCACAGACATAACCGACTGTATTTGTAACTTGTGTGTTTTTAACGTAAACTTGTGTGTGAATGAGAACTTAGTTTAAGCGTTTTTCTGCTTCCACTCAAAATAGGCATTTTCAAAATGATCTGTGGAGTATTTTGAGCTGAAACTTCACAGACACATTCTGGGGACACCAGAGACGTATATTACATATTGTAAAAGGGGGCATAATATGTCTCTTTTAATATAATTTGTTCCTCCTTGGCAACAATTAAGTTGAAGATTATATGTAGACTTCTGCATCAAGTCAACATGAAATCACACTTGACCCAATTTAGTTCACTTAAAATTTTAATTATTATTGAAAATAATAATTTTTCATAATTGTATTATTTAATATTTTTATTATTTTATTATAGAATCATCTATAATAATAATAATAAAAATACTACTACTACTAATAATAATAATTGTTATTATTATTATTGTTATTAAAATATAATAATAATTATTGTAATGTTTTAATTATTAGTTGTATTATTAATAATATTGGATCGAATTGTTATGCAATTATTAATTATGCAATTATCACCTCTTCCCATTAAAACTTTTCTCTTTTTTTGAAGTAACTCATCTTGGTTACTGCAAATATAGTTATAAATAATTATAAAATTAAATCATATTATTAATATCATTATTATTATTGTATGAGTTATAAATAAACAACTAATTAAATTACTTATAATTTATTATTGTATTATTAATTACAAATAATTATTTAATATTAGTATAATATTTTTTTTTTTACTATTTATAATATATAAATATCCCATGCTATTTAACATACACTTTTATATGAATTGAACTGCACTGGTCATGCTGTATGTTTGATTTTGTGTGCAGTTGGGTGAAGACAACACAATAGAAACACATGTTGACTGCAAACCTTGGTAGGAGAAACACCTTTGACAAAACTGATACTTCTAATTTATTATGCTAGTGCCTCCCCTGCCCATTAAAACTTTGCTCTTGTTGGTCGTAGGCAGAGTGAGTGGAGTGGAGTGGAGCTCACATACCCTGGTCGTAAGTCACCTGAATGTGGTTCCACCACCTGTCTGCTGTGGATGTAAAAGCCAGCAGGGAGCTCTTGGAAACAGATGTATGCTCGGGTCCATGCTGATTTTTCCGCTTTAGCAGAGAGGCAACATGATCAAATTTCCACCTACACGCTCTCCCACAGCACATACATGCACAAACACTCGGGTCAGAAAGTGATGACCCCAGTGCTGGGTGGGCTTACAGTAAGCAGGGAGAATGAGGAGAGGGGGTGTTGTTTAATGGCTTTAGGGGGTCTTGCATGCTGACCGAGTGCAGAGCTGGAGCAGATGTGGCCCATCCCACGTCACCAGGGGCTGCGTAGCCTGATGTCTGCCCCAAACTGAACTCTGTGGCACCTGCTAACAGATGGTGGACGTTTTATTTTCCCCTCTTGGTGCTACAGCGCCACGTAATAACCAGTGTTCGGTTATTGAGGCAGGCACAGTTTTTTTTTTTGTTGCAAATTCATGCTATTCAGCCGATGAATCATTGACTATTTCCTGTGTGATAAATTAACACAACGGGACATCAGATGTAAAATGCACTGCAAAAAAAAAACATGTATTTTGTCACTTTAACCTT